GGAGACTCCACAACTTCCCTGGGCAGCCTGTGCCAGGGCTCTGGCACCCTCACAGGAAAGAAGTTCCTCCTCACCTGGAGACGGAACTTCCTGTGCTCCAGCTTATAGCCATTACCCCTCGTCCTGTCGCTGGCCACCAATGAAAACAGCCTGTCCCCTTCCTTGTCACCACTTCCTCCAAGCTCAGGATCGGTGTATTCCAACAAAAAAAGTGGTCGAGTAAGCAGGGCAGGAGACCTGTGTGGATGGACAAGGAGCTGCTAGGCAAAGTTAACAAGAAAAAAAAAAGAGTGTACAGCTTGTGGAAGAAGCGACAGGCCACGTGGAAAGAATACAGGCGCATCGTCAAAGAACACAGATGCGAAATGAGGAAGGCCAAAGTCCGGGTGGAATTAGAGTTGGCGAGGCTTGTCAGGGACAACAGGAAGGGTTTCTATAAGTATATCAATAGCAAGAGGAAGACGAGGGAAAATGTTAGTGCGCTGCTGAATGGGGAGGGGACCTTGGTGACGGAGGATGCCGAGAAGGCAGAGTTACTAAATGCCTTCTTTGCCTCTGTCTTTACTGCTAAGGCCACTCACCATGAACTGCAGGGCTCAAGTGGAAGAGACATAAATGGGCTAGAGGAAGACCTTCCGCGGGTTGAGAAGGATTGGGTTAGAGATCACTCACACAAACTGCCCACCCAAAAATCTATGGTCCCAGATGGGATGCACCCAAGAGTGCTGACAGAATTGGCCGAGGTTCTTGCTCAGCCTCTCTCCATCACCTTCAAGAGGTCCTGGAGAGCAGGGGAGGTGCCCGAGGACTGGAAAAGAGCCAACGTCACTCCAGTCTCCAAAAAGGGCAAGAGGGATGAGCCAGGCAATTACAGGCCGGTCAGCCTCACCTCCGTCCCTGGTGATGGAGCAGTTCATCCTAGAGAGAATCTCCAGGCACATGAAGAAGGTGTTGAGGAGCAGTCAGCACAGATTCCCCAAGGGGAAGTCATGTCTGACAAACCTCACAGCCTTCTATGATGGTGTGACAGGCTGGCTGGATGAGGGGAGAGCCGTGGATGTTGTCTACCTTGACTTCAGCAAGGCTTTTGACACTGTCTTCTATACTTCCCTCATATGGAAGCTCTGGGAGAGTGGACTAGATGAGTGCATGGTGAAGTGGATTGAGGGCTGGCTGGATGGCAGAGCTCAGAGAGTGGTGATAAATGGGGCCGAGTCCAGTTGGAGGCCTGTGGCTAGTGGTGTCCCCCAGGGATCAGTACTGGGCCCAGTGCTGTTCAACTTGTTCATCAATGACCTGGACAGAGGGCACCCTGAGCAAGTTTGCAGATGACACCAAGCTGGGTGGAGTGGCCGACACTCCGGAGGGCTGTGCTGCCATCCAGAGGGACCTGGACAAGCTGGAGAGTTGGGCAGAGAGGAACCTCCTGAGGTTCAACAAGGACAAGTGCAGGCTCCTGCACCTGGGCAGGAATAACCCCAGGCACCAGGACAGATTAGGGGTTGACCTGCTGGAGAGCAGCTCCATGGAGAGGGACCTGGGAGTCCTGGTTGACACCAAGTTACCCACGAGGCAGCAGTGCCCTCGTGGCCAAGAAGGCCCATGGGATCCTGGCTGCATCAGGAGGATGTTGCCAGCAGGTCAAGGGAGGTGATTCTGCCCCTCTGCTCAGCTCTGGTGAGGCCGCACCTGGAGTATTGGGGGCAGTTCTGGGCTCCCTGCAGTATAAGAGGGACATGGAGCTCCTAGAGAGGGTCCAGCGGAGGGCAACAAAGATGATTAAGGGAATGGAACATCTCTCGTATGAGGAGAGGCTGAGTGAGCTGGGCCTGTTTTCTCTGGAGAAGAGAAGGCTCAGAGGGGATATGATTTACGTGTGTTAGTTCATGAAGGGAGAATGCAGGCAAAAGGGGGACAAGCTCTTCTCATCAGTGGCCAGCGACAGGACGAGGGGAAATGGGTATAAGCTGAAACACAGGAAGTTCCATCTCTAGGTAAAGAGGAACTTCTTTCCTGTTAGGGTGACAGAGCAGTGGAACAGGCTGCCCAGGGAAGACTCTCCTTCTCTGGAGGTCTTCAGAACTTGCCTGGATGCCACCCTGTGCCACATGCTCTAGGTGTGCCTGCTTGAGCAGGAAGGTTGGACTAGATGACCTCTAGAGGTCCCTTCCAACCTTGAATATTCTGTGATTCTGTGATCCTATAGAAACTGCTCAAGACATTAACTACAAATTATATCTGCCGTTTGACCAGGTGAAATGACTGCTGCAAGTTAAGAATGGGTTCTGAGTCAGAAAGAAGCAAAGGAGGTTAAAGATAAATATTTCCTTCTGCTATAGAAACAGGCATAGTTTGTTCCTCTTCTGAACATCTTTAACAGTGATTTATGCTCCACATTTTTAAAAATACTAATATGAATAGGCAAATTGATGCTTCAGTAATTGGGGGGGGAGGGGAAGATGAAGCATGCTACATTGTCTTAAGAGACTTTAGAGCTCATTATGATAGTTATTGAGAATTCTATCTTCTTGGGATGTAAATCTCAGATATTTTTTGAACTATTGCTCTAAAGAAATGTCAAGTCATGTCCATACTAGAGCCAAAGTTTCCATTCAGTCGATTTTACAAACTAACTTTGAGTATGACATTTTCGTCTTTGAGATGCGGTACGCATTAGGCTTCAATTTGAACAATATCAATTCTCAATTCAAAATAATATCCTTGCTACTAACAAACATCACATGTAACATAGTATCATTTCTTGTTCTACAATTCTTTTAATGTAAAAGAAAAATAATCTAGCTGTCTAATCAAGATTTGGGGGACTCTGATATCAGTAACTTTTTTCCTCCAGCTTTGGCATAGAAAATGTCTTTTTAATGGATATTCAGGTCTATTGCAATGGTCTCTACAACGTGGTAAAATGTAATAATGATTTCCCAGAATTTATTCAGTAAAAGCTCTTTTTTCTTCATTTTCCAAAGTGATATTTTTATTCAAACACATTCTTGTCTTACATATGTGCTCCCTCATCTCTTCCTAGTTTCTCATTTCATTCTCATACACCCACTCTAAATTAACAGGGAAAAAGGTGAAGATTTGTACTTATAAGTTCATGTTTGTAAACAGCGGATAATTATCATTAACCAGCTATAACATAGTTGATTAAGGATTTATAAATTTGAAATCAATATGCTTCTGTCTTTTAAAAGACCTGAAAAAAAATTTTTTTGATTAATCTTGTGGCCATGGTGATTGATCACCATCAGCCATGGTGAAGTGTTAAACAATGGAGCTACATTCAAACACAATAATTTAGATCAATTACTTAAGTTTTTTGTTAGAGGAATTCCAAAGTCCTGAGCTTAGATTCCTTAACCAGTTTAAGGAATCTACACTTATGCAGGTTGAAAAATTGCACTTTGCAGTATAAATGCAGCAGCAAAATAATTGAATGATCATGGCGGAAGAGCTTTAATTCAATGACATAAAGAACATGAGAAACTTCCATTCTTGTACAAAGCAAGAAAAGACCAGTATGGGCAATGAAACATGAAGAACATTCCCCGTTAAACTTGTTATTTGCATATATTATATATAACTTCAGAAATAAAGGAAATGAACAAAAAGCAGCTCAGACACTACAACCTAAGAAGCCATTAATTGCAAGGATAACCAAAATGAGCTCATCAAATGTATGCTTTAAACGGCACACATATGAAGCAAACCGTAAGGACAGCTTAAAGAAATGAGTTTTACTTTCCATCTGTAACAGGCTTACAATGTGTCCAGCAATTTAAGACAAAAAGCTTTATTTATAAACATGAACTGTCATGAATTTAGTTCTCATTTATTTCTAGTATACCTAAAAAGGTACATTTGCTAAAGTGGTAACAGGCTGTACGAGGGAATAACTTGTTAAAATACAGTAACTTAAATTTGTAATCTTATATCAGTACTAACTTTTCTGCACAGATATCTTAATGTACATTATAAATACAATCAGTCAGATTTTACTGCCTTTAAATAACTAGTTTCTCCATAAATTGCATACTGAGATAGTAAAAAATTACCTATCTCAGAACATCTTAAAAGCACTATAAAAGAAACATCAGTTGTTGTAACATTAATATTTATTCATCCTGAGTCCACTGTCTTTCTCCTACAGTAAAAATACATTCACTACCAGAATGAGAAAGATGGACGTCAAAATTTAGAGTACCGTGCATATTCATAATATCCCACAAGACCTCTCCCAAAACAGCAGATATCACTAACCAAAATACTCCTTTAAAAATGAATAGGTAAGAGTCAATGAACTCACAAACCTCACTAGTAAGCAGTAAGTTTACTACTAAGTAAAATAATTTGAACAATTGAGTATTTGACTTTAAAAATCAATCTGGTTTACGACAACAAGCCAACACGATAAACAACTAACATTCTTCACTCCTGATCAAGTCAAACCAAAGTGCCTATAATAGTATAGCAATACACAGAAGTAATATTCAAAAGGGGGTACTTGGGATTCTGTAATGATTATTTCTTAAGCATGTTTTGTCAGTCCCTCAAGTCTCATGTATGTATCCATCCCTAAAGACATTTTTCTATTTCCAGCTTCTTTAAGATCAGTTTCAAAAGAATTCTGGAAGGATGTCAGAAACTGTCAAATAAAGAAATTCTTTCTAAAGAACTTCTGATAGTACTCAACATTAATCTCACTTTAATCATTTCAGCATGCTTCTCCTCAATATTTATAGAAATGCCAAGTCATCATAATCACAAATTCATTTTCTATCCCATGTAGAAAAGATAATAAAGGAAGAGTTTCACAAAAATTTTACTTAAGCATAACAATTCATAACCTAAACAATTCTGTTATGTCTTAGAATACAGCAATGGTTCTTAGGAGCAAAGTTTTACTCCGTATGCTTGCAGCAATATATAAGATAATGATATTCAGGGCTCCAGTTAGGATAAGAGAAAGACGTATTGCTTACCTGTACTCCTGAAACGCGACTTCTACTTTTTGAAGCAAACAAACAATCCTCAGAATCAATTGCAAGCACAACTGAAGCAGAAGGAAGAAGTTCAGACAGAGATCCCTGGCTGAAGTTTATAGCCTCAGGATTTCTTTGACCATCCTTTACTGACTCACTCAGATTAATCACAGAATCTCGTATGTTTGAAATAATCTCATTATTTTCTGCCAACAAGCGTTCTAAATGGTCTATTTTTTCTTGCAATATTGAAAGTTGGCCCTGTAAAAGAAAAACGGAAAAAACCTGTCAGGTCAATTCTTCACATAATTTTTTAATTTCAGTTCCACTACAGTTTATCCTCACATACAGTTCTTTTTTTGTTGTTATTGTACAGGACAAACTATGCAAGAAATTGAATCAACACATGAAACCTACTGACATAATAAATAAACAAAAGACATCTTCCACTACAAATTGGAATTCATAGCACATGATATTATTAATGATACAGGTATGTTTTTAAAAGGTCACCCTCTTTCAGGCACCAATAATTCCAACTTTAACTTTCCTGTCCAAAGATTTGCAAAAATCTAGTCTTTTTATTTATCACATCAGAATGATCTTTTGATCCTAAAAAGGATAGCCACTTTTTAGGAAGTAGCAGCATCATATAGAATGACATTTATAAGACGTATGAATCTTATAAATCTGTACAAATAAAACCATCAAATGGCACATTTTTAAACTTTTCTATACAGATACCAAGTTTCTTATATTCAATAAAAGACAGAAAAATTAATAAAAGCATTTAATATGAGAGAAAAAGATCCCTTAACTGCCTAGCCATACCAGAAATCTGTATAATTGGACATTTGCAAACATTAAAATAATCCTATAAAAGTCAGCTTAAATTTACTACTCTTTCTGCCAGCTCATTTATTACTGAAGAGAGATTTTGTGGCTGGTTCTAGCGCACACAACAACAGGGAGGATAGAGAATAATATAGGTATGAAATGAAAGAAATCACGCAACCGCCAACTAGATCAAATAGAAATACAGACACTTCACAGAAGTGTTAGCACCTGAAGTTAGCAACTGAACTGTTGGATTATAGGAGGTAGCATAACAGAAGCAGAAGGTCTCAGAGTGCTACTGCTCTAACTACCCCTTTCAGTTTAGGAGATGAAGCTTTTCAGACACAAATGTGTTAGTTTTCACAAGAATTGTAAGAGGCTAGACCATTTAGTAGGTTTCCAAGATCAATGTAGCTCCAGAGTGATTTCTTTCCTCAGACTGACAATAATAACAATAGAGAGACTGAAATCCAATTACTTCATACTATTAAAATTGTGAACAGACCCCAAATACAAAATGTACAATTAAGATTTGTTAAAAAGATCTTACTGAAACAAAACCATCTGCAGATTTGGACATTTATATTTTATCTATTAAATACAGCATAAGTAACATTGATGCAGTAGAAGTAAATTGTTCTATGCTTTTTAATCAGTTAAACTTTTTCTTGCACCAATAATTTATTATATTGGCATATATTTGTACTATAGCATAGTATTAACAGCGGCCTCAGTAAATGTGTCTTTTCCCCCTTTTACAGCTGTTCCCTAGAGCAAAGCCTTTGCAACTTCCTTTAAGGTACAAGCTGATTTTTCCCAACGTCAAATGCCAAATTAGTTTATAAGTTCACTATTTCACTTTGCAAAGGATTAAGCCCCCTGTTTCAACTGTGACGTGCACTTTCTTTTGAATTATGTTCACTTTGAGAAGTCTCCAGGAATAAAAATCCCTTAAAAAAAATGCAATCCTATGATTCCATCTATACAGCAGGTCTTTGCAGTTCTATAAAGGATACGTTCTAGTATTTTTGAAACTCTGAAGTTTAAAAATTTGTTTGTTCATTCTATGACTGGAAAGTGCTGGGTTTTTTTTTCTATTTGTTTAATATATCCTGAAAGGAATAACAAGTTTCAAAATGCAACTCAGGTAAATACTCACTATTTTCTAAAAGACAGAAACGTATTTTGGCAATATTGTCGGATTAAACTAATTGATATGTAGGGCAAACATCTTAGAATCCAAACAGTTTAAAGGCCAATACTAGAAAGCTTTCAAATATATGAATTGTAAAGAAACAGTAAATCAATACACCGATGATTGGGTACTGGAAGGGGAAAAAAGAAAAGAAAAAAAAAAAAAAGAAAAAAAACTGTAGTTCCATGCCCCCTGGTGGCATACAAGAAACAAAAGAGACTAAAGTTTTTCAAATATTACATTGAAAGAAAGTATGCATTTCTAGAATTAGCATTTTCTCTTTCGATGTCCACAAAACCCCCAAAATAAAAGTTTCTACCATTCAGACGAGTAGTCTATTATGCCACTTACATAAAATAAAATACACAAAATATCGTTTGGGGCTTTACAGGTTGCCCAGCATCATTTTTCGTCTTTTAAATTCCTAAAAAGCTAAAATATAGCTACATCTACTCAAGTTATTAGCTGCTTCACTGCATATGGCTGGAGTTCAAAGTTACGAAATACTTTAGCTGTTGAAATGCTATCTGCAACTCTTACTCATGCCTTCACAAAATGTAAAATCAGACAAGTATTTTAAATGCATATTCCAATTCCATTCCTTCTGGAAATATTCTACACCTTTTTAAAAGAGAACAATTCCATACTGTTTAGCAATAGATTATTTGCCTAGTCATATGTTAAGACACATCTAGTCCATGTTATCTAATCAAGGATATTCTAACAGCAATCAGTAACTGATGCAAAGAGAAAAAAAAAAAACATTAAAAAGATACATTTACCCTGATTCTCGTTTTTCACATGCTCCCAACTTCCAGGAGAGACAGACCTCCAAAACACAATGGCACATCATATTAAGAAAGTCTAGATGGACCCCTCCTTGAATTTATTATGCCTTAAAACTCTAAATACACTAGGATAATAAGTCACATCTTATTGTGTATTATGTGAGAGAATACATTACTTTTTAAACTTTAAGCCAAGTTCCTTGCCTCTGTATTCTGAGGAATTTGTCCCTTGAGGATCTCCAAGCAGTAATGATTTTATAGACTACCATATCCCTCTATCAAGTAATTTATCTTCCAAGATGTAAAGTCTACTTAGGATTCTGAAGAGCAGCAATTCTTAAAAATACGTTGAACGCAGAACTACTTTTACCGTAGAGACAGAAGCTGTTATGTGGTGGTGGGAATCCTTACAAAGTCCTCCCTTTCTCAAAAGGGGAAGGACGCAAAGGCCCGTTCTCTTACTTTCTTTGAGAACCGAGATGCATGGTGTCCCTTTTATATAAAGCACTTCAATATAGCATCTACCAACTCAGTTTGAACACAAACAATTGAAAAGGTACAGCAAAGAACCAACTTAACGCTCCTACAGCACCCAAAAATAATAAACAGCATTATCTTAAGATTTTTATTACTTTTATTTCCATCATGATATGAACTAGCTACAGAAGTTAACTTTAAGAAGCAGTTAATATCATAAACTAGAAAAGGGCTGAAGTTTCTATTCAATTAGAACAAAGTAGAGTTGACGATCCATCTGCAAATTTAAAATTTCATGTGGAGACAGAGTATACAAAATAATCTGCCTACTTTTTTCATACCACAGTCACCTTTTTCCTCACTCCTTTTACATAGGCAGCTGATAATGCTTAGAATGTTGTATTCAATACTAAAGCTATTTAAAACATGATATAACATGAAAGAATATTCCATCTATTCAAGACAATGAAATTAATAGGAACAAAAAAAATTCAGCGTCAACCTTTCCAAAAGAAATGACTGAACTGCACCTTCCAGCATGAATTATCCAAGGCAAATAGTGCAAAACAGTGAAGTTGCACTAAAATGCTTCATTTTAGTGATTTACTATGTGCTAATAATGGATGTTGATCTACCAGTAGAAACATTTTACAAGAGCCCCAAACTGGTAGTAACTAATACATAAATACAGATTTAAAAAAGAAATTAATAAAACGTAGAAACCCTATTCATGAATAAAACTTTATTCTAAAAATATTTTAAATTAGATTTTGAGCATTTTCCACACACAAGGCTTTTGCTTTATAAAATCTCTTGTAGAGATGCATCAATACTGCCTGATCAAATCCCACTCAGATTCTTGTACTTTAGATGGCATTGTAGATACCAGATAGCAAAATTTGCTCAGCTACGTAATAACTAATCGTCAGTAGACTTCACAAATTCTTCACGAAAATTAAAAAAAAAAAAAACAAAAAAAAAATAAAAAAAAAAAAAAAAAAAAAAAAAAAAAAAAAAAAAAAAAAAGCAATCCTGATGTAAGATTGCGAGTGCTGCCAAAGAGAAAATCTGCAGGACACTTTTTAGGTAAGCATTGCTGAACTCAAGAAGAAATCATTTTAGAATGATTTGCAAATCTACATACTTGCATTACCTTAAGGAAACTCAATATCACGTTATGTGAGTCATCTGGCCTACATGATCAGTTAATTTGTTCTTGTAACTTGGCTTTAGACTTTTCTATTTCTTTCTGCCCCTATATTTTTAGGCAGTGCACAAAAATGTTTTAATCAAAAAGCACAAAAGGCATTGTTGTTGTCATTTCACAGAGATGGCAAACAGTCACTACAAAAAGCAGTACAAAGGATCCACAAACCCATTAGTGAAAATAGACACAGATTCATTGGTAAAATAAAGACATTATACGAGCAGCGTATCTGCTCACAATCCCCAAGGTCACACAGGGTTAGACTGAATCAGCTAAATCTTCCCATGTATGTTTTCATTTGAAAGCAGCACATATGAGTTTGTTCTCCACCCATGTGGAACAGGCACTCCATATGTGTCAGCTGCAATGGGCAACTGGCCTACAACCACCAAAAGAATCAGCTGCATAAACAGCTCCTTCTGCTTCAGTCTTAACTCTTCAGCAGTTTTCATGCCCTGAATACTGCTGCTTTCTCCACTGCCCTTTACTTCTCCTTCTCTCTTTGCTTCTGACATTGGTCTGACTTGTAAAAACGCTAAAACTCTCAAAAGAATGCTCTGCAGCCCCATATGAAATGGGAAACTCAGTATTACAACGGAAATACAGGCTGGTTCATTCCAGGAAAGTGTAAAGAGGACACTTTCTCCCACGTAAACATTTCCATGGGGAAGGGGTATTTAATTGTAACTTTCGGTTTCTCCCAGAACTTTCACTTCCTATTTTTATCCCTGTTGAAATAGCATTTAACCAA